TCTTCCGATCTTATTTTTCGAGATATTTGAAAGTTTCAGGTTAAAAAAATCACCCTGTATATAACATTACGTATAATAAGATGTTCATGGTGTACGAAGTCATTATGTTTAAAACATTTCTTCGTCGATTATCATTATTGTAATGAATGTAATGAGTGAATGATACAATATAAATTTATTATCTAAACATTAAAAAATTAATTTATTATTAAGAAATTATTATGTAAACCACAAATAAATAAGATGTAAAAGCGTAGAATAAAAACAACTTTAAGAGAGTAATGTTAAGATGTTATGAAGAAATAATGTACAGAGTTGAATAAAAAATAAATTTTATTATTATTAAGGAGAAATAATAAAAAATATTATAATTCTTAATATTGGGACTTCCGTTTCCGGTGTGTGTGAGTGTGGATCTGCGAATTTCTGTAAGAGTGAGTGGAGTATAAGAGTGAGAGTTGGAGTGGAGGAGAGAAGGTGTGGAAAGGAAAAGAGAAGGGAGTAGGGCAAAGTGGGCTGCACTCTGCAGGAGTGAAGGGAACGCTAGGGAAAGAGAGTGAGGTGTAGGGAGAAGAGAAAGACGAAGAGTGTAGGTTAGGGATAGAGCGGGAGAAGTCAGAAAGTGAGGGGGCGTATGCGCGGTGGGCCTAGAAGGCAGAGGCAGGAGAGCACGTGGTGAAAATAGCGGTAAGGAATAGATAGGATATAGACAGGTAGCTCGGGCAGCCTATGCTTTTTTCTCGATAGTAGGCGCGGCATAGAACAAGAAAGAGATAGATGGCCAACGCCTTGGAGAAGCTAAGATTGAAAGAGAGACGGGATAGTGTTAGTGGAGACAGCGTAGAGGAGAGTGCGAAGAGGAAAAGAGAATTGATGGGAGATGAAGCGGCGGAAATTTTTAAGAAAAGCTGCAAGGTGATGAAGTCGCCTGGGGAAAAGAGATGCAAGGAGGAAATAAGAGGGATGATGAAGGAGTTGAGAGAGGAGTTAAGGGGGGAGGTGAGAGAAGGAATGAAAGGGGTGAGTGCAGAGTTGAATAGAGTGACAGAAGTGCAGAAGGAAACCTTGAAGGAGGAATTGGAGAAAATTAAAAATGAGTGAAGGGATAGAGGGAGGATATGGGAGAAGGAAAGAGAAGAATTCCGAAAAAGGATAGAGGAGATAGAGAGAAAGTTAGAGGGGGTGATAATGGGAAATAGCAGGGAGGGGGAAGGTGAGGTGAGGAGGAGGGGAGAAACAGAGATAGACAGAAACAAAGGAAGAAGAAAAGAGGATTGGAAGGTAAAGGTTAAGGAATTGGAAAGGAGATGGGAGAGGAAGGAAAGGTAGAATAGGAGAAAGACTTTAGTAGTGAAGGGAATGAAGGAAGGGGAGGAAGGTATGAGGAATAGGGTGGAGGGAATACTGAAAGAACTAGAAGGGGAGGTTAAGGTGGAGGAAGTAAGAAGGATAGAGGCAGGCAGAAGGGAAAAAGGAAGCATGTTGGTGGTAAAGGTAGAGAGTGAGTGGATGAAAAGAAATATTCTGATGAACAAGTAGAAACTGAAAGGAAGGGAGGTATGGATAGAAGAGGATTTGACGTGGGAAGAAAAAAGGATAAAATGGAAAGTTGAACAGGTGGCACTAAAGGAGAAGTTAAAGGGGAAAAAGGTACGAGTAGATCAACAAGTGATATGGATAGAGGGAACGTGGTGGAGGTGGGATAAGGGAAGAGACGAATTAACGGAAGATAGGAGGTTGAGGAGGGAGAGGAGAAGTAACAAAAAAGGAAAGAGCGAAGGGGGCGAAGAAAGGGCAAGGGTAGAGGGGGAATAGAAATGGAAGGTGGGGAGAGGGTTCTGGAGAGCAAGAAAGGTGAGGCAGGGATGTCCAATCAGTCCCATGCTGTTTAATTTACTGACAGCGGATCTAGAGGAGGAGATACAGAGGGTGAGATGGGGAGAGATAAAATTGGAAGGGAACAGAGTGTGCACATCGGCATATGCGAATGATGTAGTGCTGTTGGCGGAGGAGAAGGGGGAAATAAGAAGCATGATAAAGAGATTGAAAAGATACGTGGATGGGAAAGGAGCTGAATGTGGAGAAAACGAAGATGCTAAGGTTTAGAGAGGGAGGAGGAAGAATGAGTAAGGTAAATTGGTGGTGGAAGGGAAAGAAAATTGAGGAGGTGAAGGAGTTTAAGTGGGATATACCTGGGATATACGATACAGAGAAATGGGGGACAGGAAGGGCATATTAAGGAAAGGGTAGCGAGAGCGATGACAGTAATGGGGCAGGTGTGGGGTATTGAAAAGAGAAGGTTTGGTAGGAAATGGAAAAGAAAGATATGGTTGTATGATAAGTTGGTATGGACAGTGATGAGCTATGGAGTGGAGATATGAGGGTGGAAGGAGAGAGAAGGAATATAGTACACGAAAGGTTTTTTAGATGAATCTTGGGAATGGAAAGAAGAACGCCGGGATACTTGGTGAGGGAGGAGATGCAGAGAGACAAGATGAGAAGTAGGGCGGGGGGAGCGTGTAGGTTTGAGAAAAGATTGGAGAAAGGAAGGGGAAGTATTTTGGCGCAGGCGTAAAGAGATGAGGGAAAGGGTGGAAAAAGGGAAGGAATTGTCAAAATGCGAGAAAGAGAGGGCACAATTTTTAAAGGACAGAGGTGTGGAGATAGAGGAGTGGGATAGACAAAACAGAGAGGGAGAGATGGATATCGAGGAATTGGAGAAAAGGGATAAGTAAAGACAGAAAAAAGAAAGATGGGGAAGAATAGAGGAAGGAAAATTTAGTAGATGGTATAGGGGTGTGAAAGGAGAGGGAATACTGAAGTACTTGGAGAATGGATGGGGTGAGAGTAGATGGAGGAGGGTTGCAAGGTTTAGGCTGGGAAATGAAATGTTGGAAAGAAGGTATTGGGCGAGAGAAGAAAAGAAATTATATAGACTGTGTGGGAGAAGTGCAGAAACGTGGGAGCACGTATGAGAGGAATGTAGGAGTTGGAAGGAGGGAGGAGTTGGAGAGTGGCAAGAAGTGTATGGGACTATATTGGGGAAGAGGGGGAGGGAGAGGATTAGATGAGGGAGATGGAGGAAGAGAGGGAGAGATGGAGAGGAGAGGGTGGAGGAGTGAATGGACGAATGAGCGAGAAGAATGGAAGGAAAGAGTGAGAAATGTAAATGAAAAGGGAAGTCCGAGGAGCGGCAAAGTTGGGTGGGTGAGAGGAGGAATGGGATGGGGAAAGAGGCGGCGAGAGAAGCGTGCGGATGGGCGAGCGTGCGAGCGGGCGAGCGTGCGGAGCGAGTAGATTAGGTGTAGTGTGTAACATAGTTATAAGCATAGATTAAGTAGTATGTAAAAAGAGTGAAGACTGTATAAAATTGAAATTGTAACCCTGAGGGAAATCAATAAATATATTATTATTATTATTATTATTATAATTCTTAATATATTTATTATAACCTCTTATCATTATTATTTTTATTATAATTTGTAATGCTAAAAATATCAATCATGTCGATTTTGTTATTCATTGATTAATACATATCTTATTGCTTTGATAAAAATTATGCACATGAGCACAGATAGTGTATATACGGAGGCATTTATAATTAATTCTCGAAAATGATATTTTGTAATTTAATTTCATCATATACGGTTGAATTCAGAAAAAAATAACTTTTAATTTGATAAAAAAAAAATTTTTTAAATTAAGAAAAACTAGGAGTGGTAGGGGTATTTTGTTAAATAAAAAATTTAAAAAATTGTTTCTTTATAACTTGAAAGTACTCTTTAAACCGTACAACTTTTATTTTAAACATTTTTTTCTATCCTTTATATTTTCGACGATATTTGCCACGAAAAAAAAAAATAATTTTTTTCAAAAGGGTGTTTCACCCCTTAAACCTGAGATTCCACACATATAAAAAATACGTGTCTTTTAGATTTTTGTGTTTAAAAACATATTTTAAGGAGAATTAAATCGATGCCAGACAGTTGTGACATGTCCCTTGTCAGTTGTAAAGTCATCTCAAATTCGCATATTTATTATAATCAATGGTAAAAAAGTGTATAAAATCAACTTATATCAATAAATTATATATCAATTACTTTTTATCACTTAATTTTGAGAGATATTTATGTTTATTTATTCTTACAAAATAATTTTTTCTGTTTTCGCTAATTATTTATTTTTTCGCATAAAAATTACTTAAAATAATTAAAACATAGCAGTTAAAATTGACTAATAATTAAAATATAATAATTAAAATTAACTAACAATAGTTAAAATATACCAACCATGTAGAACAAAAGACATTTTTTTGAAAGAAACCAAATTTATTGATAATTTCTTTCAAGTCTTCTGTCTCAATGTAATTTGCTTCAATGTCCTTCTCATGTTGATTCTTATGTCTGTTATTATCTCACAAAGTCCTCATTCTTGTATTTTTGTACTTGTCATCTCGAAAAGTAATGCTGATATTCGATACATTTATTTTGTTAGATTTCCTATTTCGTTTACTTTTGTTTTCAGTTAGTATTGCATAAAGTCGATACAAGTATAACAGTATCACCAACATGTTCTTGCACGTAAAAAATATACTTGAATAATCAACTATTTGATAATGAATTAACATTATCAAACGAATTATCAAAAACGGTCCATCCTGCAAACAAGTAAAAAATATATTATACATTTAAATTTATTTCTTAAATCAAATTAATTTTAATCTTATTAATTTTAAGTTTTATGGAAAATAGAAAGGAAGATTATATTTTTTATAACTTTTTAAAAATATTTTGACTATTTTATTTATTTTAAAGCAATTTTGAACTGTTCAGTGTATCAGTACCACAACTTTCATTGTCGCACTGTAGTTTCGTTATTATCACAATATATACACGTATGCAATTATAAATAGTTCGCACGAATTTATTTCACCGCGTAATGATGTTTCTATCGCTTAGGGGCTTGTGCCCTGTCAAAGTCTTTAACGCATAGGGACTTATGCTCTGCCATCGACCCGTGGCAACGCCTAGCGACGTACACCATGAGCTTATCTAAGGCAACGCCTGGGGTGATGCCGTCGTGAGCCACTCGTAGTCAGACGGACGCGCTGTAACGCTTAAGGCCGTCGCCTTGTATCGCGTTCCGGCTCGAGCACACACTACGTCTCGTATGTTCGCGTTCGTAAGACAGACTCGCTCAGTGAGATATGTTTATAGATCTGCGGATCGAACTCGAATGAGGCCCGACACCCGACTTCCTACGACCACGACCCTCTTCCGATTCCCTTCGGATCGCTTCCGAAAATGCCCGAAGATCTTTATCGATCGGTGATCTTTGAATAACAAGCCGCGGACACCGCGGCGGACCCATAAAATGCGTAGGAAATTCTTTGACGTCGCGCCGACGCAACGTATCGGTAGACTGCCCCGGAAGTCAGGCGCCGAATCCCCAATTGATAATATGCCACAGTTTTGTTATTCCACGTTGCGAGAATGTGCATAAGTACATATGGACGTGTGTGTGTGTGTGTGTGTGTGTGTGTGTGTGTGTGTGTGTGTGTGTGTGTGTGTGTGTGTGTGTGTGTGTGTGTGTGTGTGTGTGTGTGTGTGTGAGCCGGCCGTCTTCGCTTTGTTTGTCGTGCACGACTTTTATGACTTTTATATTTGTTCTACGGAACATGAACAATGATTATCAAAGTTATCGATAAAAAATACTTTAGAAAAATAACAGATTATAAAATGACGTTTTATACTATAATAACGTCATTTTATAAAATTTATAGTTTTGAACAATGATATTTTTCTCTGTGATATTTTTATTTATCGCTGAAGGTGCTTTAGTAAGTGTAAGTGAATTATACAATGTGAATAGTTATATGCGGAGTGATCTCGCGTATACACTATTTTGCGAGACGCTACTGTGTCTCCTAACAAGACAACTGAAAAAATATCTAGATATTTCTATCTTTAAGATGTATTTTATAACATCCTTAAACATACTTGAAGAATCACGTTCAAAATTATTCCCCATACAACGATGCTACAGCAACTGGTTTTCGATTGGATTTTTTTCTTGACGATGTTGCCAGTCGATAATTGAAATTTCTTCGGTTTGGTATCAGTTAGAACAATTGTGAATTGTATCAGAGACAATGTCGAAACGCCTAAAATCCAGTTACTAATTACTGGTTTCTCTGCTATTTTGTCATCATCGAAGGATTCTAGGAATTCGATGATATCAGCTGCAGAACCAATGTAGACTAGTAGCAGTTGGCTTAACTGATCTCGAGTCAAATCACCTTTCGGCAACATCCACCGACCGATTATCAGAATCAGCATTACGAACTGTACGTTTGTCATAGTAAACCAATCTTCCATAGAAATCTGTATTAAATAACAGAACATCAAAATAAATGATAAAAAGACAAATAATCTCCTTTTAATTAATAAACTTTAGATCTTATATTTTGATATACATTGATAGTATTGAAAATTTATACTATATACCCGAGTAAAAATTTTTATATATAATTATATATGACCATATATGAATCATTACATATTATTATAAACGATATTTATCTCTATATGACCATATATAAATAATATCTGATTTTATATTATGTTATATAATCATGTGTACTGTATATATATAGTCATGTAAAAATATTAAAAATAATATTACCGGGATTCGAATCTGGACCTCCCTTCTCTCCAGGCGGCTGTCTTATCTATTCGACTACCGAGGTATGTGAAAATCTTTCTCACAATAACCAGTATATATATTTGGAAGAACATATGTTTCAAGGCAACGTGAATAAACAATCAAGTATCAGAATTGCGACAAAGATTACCACATGCCTTGGTAGTCGAATAGATAAGACGCCCGCCCAGAAAGTAGAGAAGTTCAGGTTTAAGTTCAAATCCCGGCTGAGATATATTTTTCGCAATAAATTATTTTCATAGGATTTAATTGATGCTATTAGAGCATCGATTTATTAGATTGCCATTGGCAATTTAATTGTGATATTACGTACTTTCGGTTTTTAGCTACGTAATAAGTCCGATTATGCGGCGCGCGGTTTATTTGAACCGATAAATTGTAAGATTCACACAGTATAATATTATCGAGCACCAAGATCCGCTTGGATCGTATTGGCGGTAATTTTCCATTTCTTAATTTTGTTGTACCTTTCGGTGCAACAAATGAATATTTCGGGATCTATTTGCCTAAAGGATGGGACCCATGAGGCTACTGCGGGGTAAGAGTCGAAACACAGTCACTTGACACTGTTTTTTAGTTAATTAACATTTATTTCCCTGTTTGATACAAATGATTCCCGTATAATGCGATAATTCTAAGTTCCTGTTACTATATTATGATCGTGACTACTTACCCATACAGCACACTAATGTTAAATCAACATCTCAGAAACGTTGAATTGCAAGATTGCAAATGTTGCAGCAACATCGCGAAATGTAGACTCAACGTTGAAAAGACATTGCAGAAATGTACAATGTCCCTTGAATCTATGTCTTAGAGACATTGCAATTCAATATTAATTCAACATTAATTCCACGTATAAGCAATGTAATAATTTAATCCGCACATAATAATAATATTTGTTAGATATCTATTCGATTTTTATGAAACCAAAATAAAAACCATTATAAAACGTCAAAAAAAATAATTTACGTTTACAGTGTTTCCAAGGAATCAATTCCTTTTAAA